AGATTTTCAGTACAAATCGGCAATTTCATACTTTAACCCCTATTATATATGCTCCCAGCCCGGGAGTTAAGGCTCACCATAAAAATTGTAATAAAATCAATTGGTAAATTATTAAAATAAGCTCAAAGTTTAAATAAGCAAGTTCAAGGGTAAATTAAATACAAAATTTTAGTATAAAATAAGGTAATTAAATAGGTTTATTTACACATGTACATAACGATAATAAAAGCACAACACAATCAATCAAACGTTCAAATCAGACTTTTATGAATTTAGTTCTTATGGTGGCTATGAATCTCCACATGTTGTCCTGGGGCAGAATGTTTCACCACTGCATTAAATCTGTGAATAATATACATTTGTTATGAAATGTTTAGGATTCATGTACATTTTTGAATTACGACGAAAATCTCATAACCCATTATTATGAGCAATAACTATAGATGATATACTCGGAATACCGTTTTTAATACCTTGTCTATCCAACAGATACAATTAATTATTTCCCATCATTGCTATAACAGCATTATCGAAACTAAAGTCTTTTAAATAAGATTTTTTTTGCAAATAAAAACTGCGAAGTTTTTATAAAATAACAACGTATTATAGGAATGAAACTATTTTTCCGGATTTAAATCGCGTATATTTGTTTTTTCAAACAAACCGACGTTTCGGGCCCTTTACAGGTCCCATGGTCACGGTTGACGTCAACCGTCCGTAATACGCGATTTAAATCCGGAAAAATAGTTTCATTCCTATGTGTAACAATCGCGAAAACCTAAGAACTCGATAACAACGTATTATATTTTATTATTGAGATTTTTTTATGAAATAACTCCACTAGTTCGTTACGATTATTAAAACAAAAATCGATCACAAAGAAAAAATTATTCGACACGATGGTACTTGAACCCTTGACCACGCCGTACCGTAGCGCTGCTGGATACCAGCTGAGCTACACTAGGGCTAGCAAGGTAGAGCGTGATTAGCGCGAGAGCGACATAAAGCGTGAGATACTGCTATTCTCGCATAGAGGTCGCGCTTTATGTGCTCTCGCGCAAGACACGCCTTATCGTGCTAGCCTTACAGGTGAAGTTATCGAGTCGACGAAAGTGTCCTATGTGTTTTTGTCATATATCTTTGTACTTTGTTTCTTGGTGTTTTGGCTTTCAACGCCGTAAGTTGACATCTAGTGAGAGATTCTAGTGTATCATAATTATTAGGTCCGAAAATATTAATAAAAATTGAAATATCATTTACCCGTTATGTTTATCGGAGCTGTATTCGACAGTACGGATGGAGCCGTCGGCTTCATGAAGACTGTAAACTCCTTTTACAGAGTCACCATCACGGGTCTCATGCTGGTACTTGTTATCACCAGTATGGGGATCTTCTACTTTGTATTCATACTGGTACTTAGGGTGTGCCTGAAATGGAAATAGCCTCATTTTGCCTCATCAAGAATTCATTATATAACATAATCTGTTTACAGTATGTCTATTCCGCTAGCTATAGAGATGATCTCACTCATGATTAAGCAGAACGTTGTGAATCGAATAAATGAATATAGAAAGTTGCGGTAAATCAGGAGTCGGATGTCCGTACACGTAATTTATTTATTTAGATTGACTTACGTAATAATCGACGGGTTCTTCATGGTGATGGGATTTGTGGGCATTGCTCTCGACCTGGTGTTGGGAAGGAGCATGGTGCAGTTGATTAGCATGGTGCAAATGAACTCCATGGTGCACATGACCTTCATGTGCCCCATGGTGGAGCTGGGCCTCCTGTGCTCCATGGTGAAGCTGAATCTCTTGCGCGCCGTGGTGCAGTTGAGCCTCCTGCGCTCCATGGTACAACTGAGCCTCCTGAGCTCCATGTTGTAACTGAGGTCCATGGTGGAAAGCTACAAGTTGATGATTGTACTGGACTTCATGACCCTGAGAATGATGTTGGGGAACAGGAACATTTTGGGTCTGGTGATGAACAGGAGCATGATGTCTCTGCTCTTCATGCTGAGCTTGCACGTATTGGTAAACAGGAGCGTACTCTTCTTCAGATTTTGGAGAGTTTTCGCTAGTTTGAGCATAATGGACAATGCTTTGAGATGGCTGTCCACGATTATGGCCCTGTTCTTGGTCTTCAGCAGACTCACTATACTGAGTTTCATGAATAGGTGCAGGATCATGCTGCAGAACAATATGTCTGTGATGACTATATTCATGAGGCTGCTCATGCTGAACCACTGACTTCAGGGTATAAGTGTGTTCCTGGCAATTGAACGCTGCCAAGACGGCGGCAAAAACTAGTATCTGAAATTAAATTTAATTGTTAATGGAATTTTTTGGGATCTGCAGGTGGTATATTTTCCTTCACTACTAATTCAATGTATCGATGTTTGTGTGTTCTTTGGTGAAACGGTACAAAGTACTACTTATTTAGATTTCGGATGCGCACTTTGGTATACATTTTCGCCTTCCGTGTATCTCGTTTGACTTCCGCGGTGCAACTGGTGTATCGGCATAGGTTATTAGCTCAATATATACCGGAGACGTTACGAGAGAGAATTGAATCATGTTCGCAACACGCAGCGCTGTCTTTGTATGACGTAATTTACGTAACCAATGTGAAGGTTGTTAGTCCGCTTAACTGATGCACTATAAAACTGTGGGTTCTTTAATTAACAGGTATCAGGGTAGTTAGTAATATATTTTATTTCCCTTTAAAAGGCAGACAACGTTGATGCAATTTAGAATAAATCTAATTCAGTTTATATGTAGCGATACCGACAATCATTTACTGCAAGTCTCGTTTAGTCAACGTCACTTCTGAAGAGGCAACTAGAATAAAATATTTTTTTTATAGTTCAAGACGCATATACTTTAATCGTATCAGTATTCGAATAGTAATAAAGTTTTTATGTAGATTTGTAGATTATTTGGTACAGAATTGAAAGTAAATTTAAACGAACAAAGTTAGGCAATTGGGCAACCCTCTGTCAGACGAATCAGTAATGCAATGACGTGTCATAACTATTGAGAACGCTGCCCTGAACGGTCATAATCTTGTCACCTTTTCCATCAAAACATGGAAAGATACTAAATATATGAAGAGGCTGTATGGTAGAACCTTTGCCTACTCAAATAAATGGGTGAATATTTATAAAAAACAGGTTTTTTTTACAATCAAGCCGTATGATAACCTCGGTGCTTTTAATTAGTCGAGTAGGGTAAATTTGGATATGAATTTTCCTAAATTAGTTCTGGTCTAGATGTGCTGGGTAGCATCCTGGAGTAAATTTCGGCGATATCATGACAAATACGATATGATAACGATAATGGAAATGAAGCTAAAAAATGTTTTGTTAGCACGATAATGCCAATAATGGTGTAGCAGATTCGTGATACGAGATATGATGTATTTAATTGAAATTACCGCATTATATTTCCTTGTTTCCAACTAGTTCAATTGAGTAGACCTATTATTTTATTTTCACCGTACCACTAAAATATTTTGGTTGATTTCACTATAAGTAATTGTTTTAGCTACAATACGTTTAGTAGCAGTAGAGCTCCTTGCGAAAGAGTACGTCCAAGGTAGTACTGCCACCTTACCTATTTCTGCCGCCAAGCAGTAATGTCAGCATTACTGTGTTCCGGTTTTGAACGGTAAGGGTGCTGGTGAAATTACAGGTACATGGGACTTGTCAACTTATGTCTCAATGACGGGCGCAGTGCCCCTCAGAGCTTTGCAATTTAAAGCTCTGAGTGGCACTGTAATTGTTATGGACAGCCGTGTAGCTTATCCATCAGGCACACGACTTGTGTTCGTCTCGTCACTTATTATTATAAAAAAAAGTTATCGTGCTGTCTATCGTCTAAAATAACAACACTAGCAGGATTAATCTGCGGCAAATAGTTATAATTATGTACGACGTCGATGTATAAAAAATAAAAATGGGCAATGAATACGAACCATCTTAATTTTCTCTTTATTGAACGAATGAAAAATGAGACTAGTAAATATTTAGGTTTTACCATATTTATTCAATTTCCTCAGATGATTCTCTTTATTAGACAATACGTTGAAATGTACAGTTAAGGTGTAATAAAAGCTTAAATACTAGAAACTAAAATTAGGATTAATTGGAAATGAAACTATTTTTTCGGATAAACTTAAGCACTCGACATGTATCGAGGTAAAATGAAGCAATTTTTTTAACAAATTATTAACGTTAGACTTTTCTCTTACTACTAAAATTGTTTTCAAGGTATTTACGTGTTTATTTTTGTTAATATAACAATTACTTAAGTACAATCTCTACTAGGTATATGCATAATACACTAATTGTAAAATAATAGCTATATAGTTTTCTTGACTTTAAAACACAACAATTATTATGAATGATCATTACATTGCGTGGTTTGTTTTTCAAACTTTGTAAGTGACACAAATTAATTGTCCTTGAATGTAATGTATAACGAATGCAATGCAAACATGTACTAATCTTAGTTCTAGATATAACTCAAAAAGACTTGCCCAATGCATTGCTCAATAAATTCTTTTTTTGTGATACTTTATTTTTATGATATATATATAAGTGACAAGAGGAACAAGTCATAAGCCTGGCGGTAAGCGACACATAAGTCCATAACAATTCCAGTGTCACTCAGTGCTTTAAATTACAACGATTTAAGGGACACTGTCATTGTGCCCGTCACCCTGAGACATAAGTGGACAAGTCCCATGTATCAATAATTTCACCAATTCTAATTCCCTATCAATAATTATGTTCAATACAACACGCTATTGTACGTATGGTAACAAATAACTGAAAGAAAAAATGTAGTTTCTTATTATCTGTACAAGATCAGCAGATGAAATAAGGCTGACCTTTTTGCAACAACCTGTGGAGCTGTTAAATAACAGTGCTTACGTCATTAATATTTTTTGTTATTTTATATTTTATCAATTGTTAGATAGAAAGATAACTAAACAAGAATACATCTAAAAGCCGATTTACAAAACATTATAATGGACCTTGATGCGCTTTAGCAGTCTTCTGTGAAAAAGTTCCAGGTTCGATTTAAATTGATTCTGTGTTTTAATTTCCAAACTCTACATACCTATAATTTAATTCTTTAATGTGATTTTTCAATTTTAATTATTTTATTATTAAAAGTCAAAGACGTCAAAAAATCGATTATTCCATAGATAAAATAAATTTACACTTGAAAATGATATATATTTTTACGGCCATATAAAATATTTCAGTAAATGTACTGTGATACCACAGTCAGTCCCCTTAAACTTTTCTCTGTGAGAAACCTGAAAACCTAAATGGTACATCGAACGAATCGCTCGTTTTTGCAATACAAATATGGTTTGAATATCTGCCGCTCTACCCTACGTGAGAATCCCGTAGGACATTATACAATGGAAGTAACTAAAGTAAACTAGTCTAGCAGTACTAACATCGGTAAGGTCACGTATTCTGCGGACTGCGTATGCAGCGGAACTTAATCTGCTGGCCAGGGAAGATATATGTGGAAACCATTGAAGTTTACTATCTAAGGTCGCTCCCAAGAAGACTGTTTTATTAACAAGGTCTAACTAAAACTTTCTATGTTAGAGATGATACCGATGTGCTGTGAAGTTCGCATGTTCTTCCATTAGTAATCTCTTTCTTTTATTTGAAGCTAGCTGAACGTAATTTGTGTTTAGTCTTATCCCCGTTCACATCTTCAAATTCCATTAGGTGAGATTTTGAACTAACACATTTACTTTCTTACATATCAATTATTACAAGATTTTGTTATTTTACTATTGTTTGTTGACATGTTTCAATTGTATTATAATTTCAAATGTCACAACATTAATTATGATTACGTAAAGAGCTTTATCAGATAATTGAGTTTTGTATGGAGTGCTAAAGAATCGTTTTCAAATTGGGTACAAGTTATAAATTTTCACTTATATTTATTTTTATAACCTGTATAATTATGAGATGGAAACAATAGAGAAGATAGAAGAAATATCCCTCTAATCAAGCATTAATAACGGTTTTAGGAATAATATTGGGTTGCACAAAAACTGCAGCATTACGCATTACGACTTCTATTTAAATCTCTAGCTATATAAAATGCCGACCTCGGTGGCCCAACGGTTTATACTGTGGGCACTGGATGAGGAGGTTTCGGGTTCGATTCCCGGAAGAACCAAATTGGGAAATGAACTTTTCTAAATTGGTTCTGAGCTGGGTTTTCTGGAAAGTGCCTCAGCGTAAATTCCGTGCTCTGGTACTCATAGTACAGGGAATTACCGAGTTTGAAATCGAGCAATTGGTGGGGTTGTGTGGCACATTGTCAGTACACAGAACTCATGGAATTAAATATTTTTGGCGAATAAATAAATAATCATATTAATAAGTACATTTGGAAAACCGATCGCGAATTTGTAGTGGGTTACTAGTTAAATGCGTTTCCATGCAAATGACTTAAAAAACTGATTAGAAATATTTAAATTACACTCAGTATCATGGATTTTGTTTTGATCTAGTTTAGAAAGTACAATGGACAAGAGAGTAAAAATCCAAAAAGAAACTCAATGTAAAGCGTTAAACGTATACAAAGGTCATTGATCGGATTTATGCATTTCAAAAGGCTATTTTTAAATACGTAACAGACGATTTTACAAATGTGATAATCTTATTTAAGATAGTCGTTTTTAATCAATCTTACGATATCAAAAGTAATTTGCTTGTCTATCGAAATAAAAGTATTTTTAATTTATTTTGTACAAAAAATATTAAAGTCAATCTTTTGCTATTAGGATGCTGACAAATTTTTCACGAAATTATTAATAATATTAATAATAAAATTCAAAATTAATATTTTAGGCCTTGGGAGAGACGAGAGTCTAAAATAGATATCATTAATAATAAAAGGTTTTAAGGACACAATGCTTAGCTTGTTATCGCTGGAATTTCCCAACGATGAGTGTGAAGCTGCATCCAGCGGCGTAGCATTGGGAAGTGCCACCAATCAGCGAACACCATTAAGAGTCGGTTGTGCTGGCGAGGACACGAGTGAGCGCGGAGGCGCACCGTTTCCTCATTATAGCGTCAAAGTCATCCGTGCGCGCCTCCGCAAACATCCCTGACGCGTTACAGCGCCACAGCAGCCCCAGCAGAAATCTGAAGGCCTTATTATACTGGACACTCCGCTAAGTATACTTGACCCATAGGTTGCATATATAAAAGGATATGCTGTAAGCTTTGAAATACATCGTGCGAACCTACGGACCAACTTATTGCTAATGACAGCCTGCGACCTACGATCCCTCTCAATGTCACAAGTATCTTTTAAGTTCTTAGTGACCCAGTAGCCCAAATATTTAAATTTCGTCGCGCTGCACTGTGATTTATTTTATATATATATTCTTTTATATATTCTTATATTGTATATAACTATATTATATTCTTAAATATACTGCCTGCGTGGTCGAAAGGTTACCATGCTAGACTGCATTGCATACATTTATTTCTCTCGTGAGTTTGGGTGTAATTTGTGGTTGTCTACGTACGTGTGTGTCCATGACACCAGCGATACACGGTTTCCTTAGTGCGGGGCTATGAGTGTGTGCGTTGTTTGTTGTTTAGCGTACTAAAAATACCGACCTCAAAGTTCGTGGAATATGCTAAGTTTTATTGAAATCGATCACCGGAAATAGCGCTAAACTTAGAGGTGGAATAATTTCTTTAAATTTAAATGCGAGTAATAACGAGGTACCTCTTTTCAATAAAAAAAGAATCATCATAATAGGTTCACAAATACAGGAGTACACACATACAAAAAATACAGTCGAATTCAGAACCTCCTCCTTTTTTGAAGTCGTTTAAAAAGTAAACATTACAAGACCAAATGAAATACCATCGTTAAAAGCCCAATTTATATTCTGTAGACTCTACTGGAACGTGACCTCAACGTGACGTCAAAGTTAGTAATACTTTTTTGCTACCTGATGGACTATTTAGCAAAAATATGATACGCACTGTGTCTCTTCGAGCCGTGAACCAGTTTTTTACGCTAAAACCTTATAGATGTTTTTTATGTAACCAAGATTCTCTTATCGTTTGGAATGCAATGCTACCGTTACACTTTCGGTTAAATAGCGTTTTTTGTAAAGTGTTTTTTAATACACCTTCATGGATACTGCTCTAAATGTAGGATAAAGAAACGAAAGTAGGTTACGAATAGGTTAAAGACACGAAAGTAGGTTTGTTATATTTATACTAAAATTACAAAACGGGGATAAACGTGTCGAAACAATTTATTTTATCAAAAGGCACGGTCGAAATTCAAAACTAGTATTACCGAGATTAGAAATGGATAGAGAAAGCCCGCTTCATAGACGTATATTAATTTATAATAAAATAGCAGACTCCTTACCTAATGAAAAAAGCAAAATAAGAACAAATTCAAAAACAAATTCAAGTCTCTCTTGGTAAATGGGTGCTACTATAGTTTGAGAAGAGTTCACGTCCCGTCCTGTTCCCGTCGCGTATAATTGAATACTATGTTTTTGTATCTAACGATAACAATACATCTCATCTTACCAATTTCTGCTGCCAAGTAGTAATGTCAACATTACTGTGATCCGGTTTTGAAATTACTGCACTAGTTTACTATAATTATTAATACGAAGATCGAACACTTAGAAAAAAATTCCTTCAATCTGGCCGGCAGAAGCTATGCCAACTAAGCCACGGAACGAATCAGCGGACCTCACGAATTCCTCTATGTGCTTGTTGTCGGATCTTTGTATCTGGTTTTTAACGACTTTTTAGCCGTAGTGAGAAACCTGTGATAGTATTCGTCACCCAGTAGGTGTAAAGGGTGCCTACCCTTTACACCTACTAGCCCTGTCTAGGGATGTCGCTATACACTAGTATAATAAAGTCACATGTGATCATACGACAAGAGCTTTTATCACATAAAAGTAATGTAAAGTAGTAAACCCACCAACAATATGAAAATCAAAAAAAGAATATTGTTCTTATTGTGAACAAATTTGGTTAGTATACGTAACGTAATTGTGTAAAATTATATAACTCTCCTATTTATGTCTAAAAAGTAATAGACTAATTTAGTCCATAGAGTCTTTTAACCTCTCTTCTGCAAATTTGTTATTTTAATGTGGCCTTATTACACAAAGGGTGCGCATTCTAAAAGCATATAGTCCTAAATTACCCGAATATAGTGCCATTCACAACCTTAAGAACAAATGCTAATTGATCCAGATTTCTAAAACTGAACTAACGATTAAACTAATTACACTAACAACTAGAAACTTAGTAATAAAATTTACAATGCCGTTAGTTGTTATCGGGATCCAGTTCCAGTTACTGCATCAGAGTTTACCGTTTATGTTTACATTACCAATCCATCAGAATCACGTCATTGTACAAAACTATTTTTGAGTCCAGACTTCCGAGTAACTTCAGTTTTGCTGAAACAGACGAATAAAATTGTTGAGTAACTAAACCAGGAAACGTCACGTCAAATACCAGTCTTATATTGTAACACATAAGGTTAACATTTACAAATCGAATTATTACTTTAATGATTGGAGTATTTCACAAATCAGGTCGACTAAATTGATTTGCTAAAAACAGTTTCTGAGTTTTTAAGACATTCTGATACCGTATTGAAGAACTAATACAGCTCTTATACTTTAGAAAATAGAACTGAATATATGCGTGTATACGATACAAAGCCTCCGTGGCTGAACGATTACCGTGCTGAACTGCCATTGCAGAGGACCCACGTTCGATTCCCGGGCCGGGACAGATATTTGTATGTCCTACACTTATTTCTCTCGTGAGTTTAGGTGTAATTTGTGGTTTTCTTTGTGTGTATTCATGGCACCCGCGACATAGGGTTTCCCTAGTGAGGGGCTATGTTAAATGTGTGCGTTATTATTATTATCAAAGCTCAGAAGCGGCCAAATTGAAGTGTGGGACTGAGCTGGTCACGTCTGCTGCATGCCGAGCGAGTTATGGGTCGGGATAACCACAGAGTGGAGACCTCAACACTCGAAAACGGAGACGCGGTAGATAAGGACGGATGGCGGGATGACTAGGACTCCTTTTTAAAAGACTGGCCTGATGTTGCTCAAGATCGAGAGCAATTGGAAAACAGGGTGAGGCCTTTGCCCAGCGGAGGGACAAAATATAAAAATAAAATATGACAGAATAATACATAGCATGTGAATAGTTTTGCGTACTTCTTCTTCTTATCTTGTCGATTTTGCCATATCGTGGTGAAAGGACCAGACGTACAGTAAACGAATGGCATGTCGTGTGGGGAGGCTACTACCATGCATCCCAAGTGTATAACAAGTAATAGTTTTACCATGTGGTTATATACTCCAGCTAGCACATACTTAGCTCTGAGGTAGGTATCATGTAAAACATCGTAACCATCACAGGAGGACGACATTTATCACATGCTTTGATTGCTATATTTTAAGGTAAAATATAGCAATTAAAGCTCTCTAGTAATCAGACCGAGCACAGGAAACGACCATCGTTGAAACAAGGAACTTTCGTTCTACGACTAAAACATATTCACAACAATTTGTTTTACTTCTCACAAAAAATGTTAAAAAACTGACGTAGATTTGTTGGTGATTGTGTTGTTTGTAGAAGTTTTGAAAACGCGTCTAATGATGGTACTTCACATGGCTATCACAATGTGTAGATAATACGTTTGACAAAGTATTTACCTTATTTGCCTATTCGACAAATACACCAAACTCGCGTTACTGTGCGCTGGTCGGTTTCTCGACCCACATCAAAGGAGCAAAATACGCAAATAAACCGTCCACACTATGATCATATTCCTTATTTTAACTTCTTATTTGGCTTCATAAGTAGACGTTCATATTTGTCAGTGTTTGCATGTTTGTCCGTAGATAGGTCAAATATTTTTCCACGTACATCAAACATCCAATAGCGAATACAAGTAGCCATTTAAAGTGCCGCCATGACCTCCATAGATGACCAACATACTGTCTGATCACAAAAACCGACCGCCTAAACCGACTAACGTTCAAAATTATTGAAATTTTCATTTTATACATACGATGAAGTAGTTATGACCTAATCGGTAACTCGACAGTGCCAGGCTTATTATATTGCACAGAAGGATCGCATAAATGTCATGCTAGGAAGTTTGAGAGGTGTAATTAGAAATAGTGCTATGTAAATAATACTATTTGTAACTAACTGACAACAATATTTACTACACACTACTACACATTATCAATTAAGTAGCCAGAAACATTTTTTTACGAAATTATTGCATTCATTCCGTACTAGCCCGTAAACAATTTGAACTTATAGTTTGGAGAGAAATCTATATTGCCTTGGTTGACATTATAACAATAACAAAGGCTTGTTATTGATATAAAAGACCCTACTTGTCGGTGGTTGGTATCAGTGTTGTGCTGAGCTTTGAGTTATTAACATTGCAATTAATAAATTATACAATATGATCTCTAAGGTAAACAATCATTCTTAACACAGTGTCAAAGTGTTTATTTAGTTACAAATAGAATAACCCTATCGACCTACTCACGTCATAAAAAGCCCTAAGGCTAATTTCTATCTAATTTTAGAATGCAGTTTCTTCGACTTTTGTCGAATTTGTCCAGCAGTTCTCTGAAATTTCAAGGAAATAATTTACGGCATTGAAGTGAAAGACATTAATACTACATAGCAAATTTTTTTATTGCTTTTATGTAATTTATAATCAACAAATAAATTGGTTCAAATTCCAGGTCCTGTGCCTAGCCGCCTTGGTTGCAGCTGTGGCCGCCTACCCTCACGGCCATGCTTACTCCTCTCAACATATCAACCGCCATGATGGACCTTCACATGTCATTCATGGCCATGACGGACACGGACATGATTATTACGTAAGTTAAATGCGATGAAAATAATGATTACGATCTACCAATCGATAGAAAGCGAAAAACATCGAAATAACCTCCTGTCTACATGTTTGACAAGGATTTTTTTAAATAAAAAAATAAGTGCACAATTGACCTCCATCTCACCTGATAAAAAGTGACGATGAGGGCGACGATGGTGCATGCACACCTAAATAATGCCTATCCACTCTAGCCTTGAGAAGTTATAGCGGTCAAGGAATAAGTCTTTATATATTTATAAGTCCAAGGCAGGGGATTTCACTCCATAACCACAACATAGGTGTGGAACCCCAGCCCACATCTAGTCATCCGATGATAGAAAGGGAAAGACGGAATTAAACCATGCAATTCCATCGCATACTCTCCGTGACATATCCTGTAGAATACCGTAAACTAGGCAACTTTACAGCGGTGTTCCAGGCTTTTTTCTAATCCAGGCTTACCCCAAATACGACTTCGCGTATGAGGTACATGATCCCCATACCCACGACATTAAGTCACAAGCTGAGCACCGCGACGGTGACCACGTCAAGGGATACTACGCCCTCCACCAGCCTGATGGTTCCGTCAGACACGTCGATTACTATGGCGACAAGCATAGCGGGTAAGTCCACTTATATACAAGTACCTCTCTTTTACCAACACCATGTCCAAGTGTCTTTTATCAGTAAATCTATATTTTTGTGTCCAGTATTTGTGTTTTGTTTATGGAATTAGGATGCGATTACGTAAAGTGAAACGAAAAACAGCATGTTTCTGTGAAATTTGATCTGTATTTGTAGCCGTCTTTCTATGTGATTTACCAATATGTTTATTAAGCATTGACAACCTGAATTAATCTTAATTTTATTCTTTCAGTTTCCACGCGAATGTCAAGCACGGCACCCACCACATCGTTCCTGTACACCACGGTCATCATTACTGAACCAAATGAACTGAATAACTTATTTTTATTTCGTTAACTTTACGATCTTTGTTCCAGCGACGGAATTTTGATACATTTTGTATATACAAAAAATATAGGCAATTGAAAACAAGTCTTTTTTAAATTTTATTCTTGCTTTAGTACGCCATAAAAAATTAAATAAATAATAAATAAAGGACACACTCATAGCCCCACAATAAAGAAAACCCTGTGTCACGGGTGCCGTGGACACACACATAGAACACCACAAATTACACTCAAACTCACGAAAGACTCTGTTGCCCATGTTCGTAGTGGTGTCCCCCAAGGCTCAATACTCGGACCTTTGCTCTTTGTACTATATGTTGCTGATATCATCGGCTGCATAAAGAACTGTAAATATCATCTATATGCAGATGATCTGCAATTATACTTATCATGCAAACCAAGAGATGTTGATGCTACAGTAAACAGCATCAATGAGGACCTACAGAGAATTTGTCAGTGGTCTAAACAAAATTCACTCTCACTAAATTCAAACAAATCTAAATATCTCATATTAGGTACTAGACAACAGGTCTCAAGCATAATTTCGATGGAGCCTCAAATAACCGTTCACGGAGAGGCAATCGCTCGAGTTCACGAAGCGCGTATTCTAGGGCTCATTTTGGACTGCGAGCTACGATTTAAATCCCATATAGCAGAAGTTGCTCGTAATTGTTTTTACCGTCTAAAAATTTTATATAAGATGAGAGATTATCTCAGTACCGATTTACGATTAAAGCTGGTGGAATCGTTAGTTTTGTCCAAATTTAATTATGCAGACACAGTTTATGGTCCTCGTCTTCTAGGTAAAACTAATGATTTAATACAGAGAGTTCAAAATGCGTGCCTAAGATTTTGCTACAAAATACCACCTAGAAGTCATATATCGCCCTATTTAACTAAGGAAAAGCTTTTAAATATGTCTTCACGTCGATATCTGCATTTAGCCACTCTTCTTTTTGGTATAGTGAAACATAAAAAACCACCTTATCTATATGAACAACTAATATGGTCGTCACGATCTCGCCTTGGTCAACTATGCATCCAGCGCCATAATACCGCGGCGTTTAAGGGAAGTTTTAAGTATGCCGCAGCGAAGATCTGGAACGATCTGCCTCCTCCTGTTCGCAATACAACGTCATTATCTGGTTTTCGTAAAAGTTTAAAGGACTGGACGTTATTACAACAAATGAACGGCTACAGCTTCCGCCCTTTCTAAAATTGTTGATATTTTGCATATTTTATTTGTTTATATGGATAACTTTTAAACAGACTGATCACACTTCACTTTTATTTTATTATATAGTTTTTAATTATTATTATGTTTTTGTATTCAATTGATATTTTATTTGTATTCTCTTTTTTTTTCTTTTTGTTTAATTGTAATGTTTAATGTGTGCGTTTTTTTTTTTTTGTTTAATTGCAAAGCCGTCTACTTCCTACCAGGCTCCAGCTGAAAACCAGCGTTGTGGCTCTGCCCAACATTATGCTGAGCTGGCTAGCCTTTTCGGCTAAGATTGTATTGTTTTTATATTATTACTTTTTTGGCATGTAAATTTAACTAGTCGAATAAATGCTTCTTTCTTTCTTTCTTTCTTTCTTTCTAAAGAAATAAATGTAGGCTATTCAAATATTTTTCCCGATCCGAAAATCGAACCCGGGACCTCTGCGTCGCAGATAGTTATAAATAAATATTCAGGGGATTATTCTACTCCTGGAAGCAAATGTTTTTATTCTAATAAACTATTTTTGTATTTTTTATGAAACAACGATACAGTTATCTCGAATATATTTAAGACATAGACTAAAGCTAGAGATAATTAAATAAATATCTCAGAATTGTAGTATTTTACAAAATGTAGCATGGTAAAAAAGCCGTGGTAGTGTAATGGTTTGTCCTGCTTCAAGCGGAGTAAAAATTTTTTGCAATTTATGTAAGAAATTGATTTGAAATTTACCAAGAGCTTTTCGGTGAGGGAAAACATCGTGATGAAACTTGCAAGACGAAGAAGGTTCATAACCCTCAGAAAAAGTGTGAAGTTCCCTGTTGGGAACTTCACAGCATTCGGCCAGCGTGTCGGACTTCCGACACAGGCACGTGGCTCATACTGGCATGTGGATCTAGTCAACTTGTGTCTCAGGCCGACGGGCGCAGTGGCAGTGCCCCTCAGATCTTTACGATTTAAAGCTCTGGGTGGCACTGCAACTGTTATGGAGCGGCTATCATCTGGCGACGACTTTTCGTCCCGTCACTTGATATTATAAAAAAATACCAATTTCAATGATGTGCTTTTTTATCAAAATACTAGAAAAATTTGATCAACAAACGTTTTGTAGATATTTGAGAATTTCCCATCTGATCCCCTACAACTGATCCACCGCCAATTTTAAACACGAACTGATCCCATCTATATTTTGTAACTCCCTGCGGATCCCCTCGTTGTATGTGTAAGTAAAGTCAAGAAAGAAGAAGAGAGAGAAGAAAGAAGTTTTAAAATCATATATTCACTTATTAATCAAATGTTATAATTATCACAGACAATCAAATATTTTTGTCGATTCATCACAAGTAACAAAAAAAAGAGAAAACCTTCGCCTGAGCGGAGACATGTGCCGAGCATTGAGATAATATAGCATGTCAATCTGTAATCTTTACGTAACCCGCTTGGAAACTAGGCATCATAGTATGTACATTGTTATGTGTTTAATTAACAACAATACATCCGGCTTAAAATAAGTATTGTCTTAATCGATTATAATTATATAAATTAAAACGAGACCTCCTAAATACTGGATAATTATTAGAAGCTGAGGAAACCAAACAAATTAAAATACGATTATTTTGCAAATTGTACAACACGTTATAAGTGCATGTCTTCTGCCCGATAGACATAATAGATAAATTAACCTAAATTCATAAAACCTAAAAAAAAATTAAATCACGTAATTTCCAGCTTTCTAGAAGAAATGGATTCCATGTAATGATATAAACGAATGTGATTTTAAGTGGGGTTTTAATAATGTTGAAAGACTTTTATTGATTGTTTTAAATATCATTATCAATGATCTTTTAATAATTGTCAATTTATTGAGCATTAAATTGGCCATAGAGCTAAATAAAAAAACAAAGTCATCACGTAATTTGTGCATGAATGTACTTAAACTAAAAATTAATTCTTGTAAAAATTATTTTTACAAAACCCGCCATTTTTTTTCTACACTGGTTGCTTACACAACTTCTTAAGTTTTTGAACTCATGACGACAATTTTGAGGTAGCGGAGAAGGCGGACGGAAGAACATAATATACAATTAATGCGTTTGAGTTGCATGTTGTTTCAATGAAAAAAAAAATACTAAACATAAATGTTAATATGTAATAAATAAATATAGAGGAAACTGAACTAACATAGAATAAATGATCAAAAATATTCTCCCATTTTTCCTGCATTATGGTGAAAATAAATTTTATTAAGATTTATACTCATGAAAATTCACACTCCAAAATTGCAATGATACATATCACCGGCCTTTCAAACTCTAGTCAATGAGCTGTTGGAGCCGATTCTTTGGTTCATGATCATTTAAGCGGGGCTGTTCAACTGGAACCATAATCCGTAAATCACACTATTCTGAGGTAATTTAGCCATTAATTAGGTACTAGGTAATAGGAAATTTCGTTATTTAAAATAAAATAATAATATATGTTCGAGGAAATCCAGTGTAATAAAGGTTCAATTAGGCATGACGTTGAAATAAGGCTTAAGGAATTTTAAAGTTACTTTGATCAATGTAATATTGCTATAGCTTAATTGGGATAATGTTTGCCATCTGCACGCGAGCATTTTTGGTTTCTATTTTAATGAGGACTACACCACTGAGACTTTTTCAATCATGTGCGATTTTGTTTACTAATTACCACTTCAATTCAAGTGAAGGATTTTTTTTTATATTATTTTATTCATTGTTATTAAGTCGTGCGCCTGATGCTATGATGATGATGATGATATGCCCTTTTGAGAAAAGAATTTACGACAATGGCGTTATTACTTAGATTTTAGGTTAGTTTGTCACAACACCTCATGTTATAAAAATATCCCACCTCACACCTCACCTCATGTCATAGGTCACGCACTTCCGACTGTTTCGAATTCAACAAAAGCAACAATGATTGGTCCTGCACTACCCGCTTCTTAGCCGATTTTAAAACATTTTACTACCATAGCACGAAATTAAATTAGCATTTATTTATACTATGTCATAACACTTAAGTTATCCAATCAATTGATACCATCAAGTTATGAAAATGTGCTTAATATTTCCCGTCTGTTGAGTCATTCATTCAAACAAACAATCAAACATTCTTACCACCTCACCTCATTTAAAGTAGGACTTTGTAGCGCCTCATTTTTCAAATGAGGTACTCCTCACAAACTCATTTTAATTTCATGTCCTACCCAACTCTACAAGTAGGTGTAACACAGTCGTTTATGTCTAAGTCATACCCGAAGCAAAAATATTGTGGCAGTCAAAAATTCGACTGCATATTATTTTGCATCCAACGACAACAATTTCAGAAAAATTCCATTGATAACAGAATACCTCTGTGCTAGTCACTTGGCAAATTTTTACGTTTACACAATTACCAATATAACGCAAATAACCTATTTAAACATTACAATTGACTTTCCCCTATATATACTTTAGAGTAAACTTTAAAAAAAAATACTTGTATCAAGTTTCAAGGTCGTACAGCGCAGTGAAAAGAAGCCACAAAAACGGCGAAGACTCCATGTCTTTGACCTACTAGTTCACATAGCTACTGGAATATATGTCATCATTTACATGCCAAGGTTTTATTTTAAATAAAGACATGTTTTCTTCAAAAGATGACGCGTATTGTATTAAAGCATGTTACGTAGTAGAAATAAAATATATCCTATATCCAACCAAAATATGTAGGTGGCGCACACATAACACTTAAAATATGCTACGAAAGTATATTTCTAACGAAAGAAAGAGCCTTCTGACAAAGGTTAGCTTAATAAAGAAGAAAAATATTTGTTGTGCTAAATAGATATAAAATTATTTGGTATTTTTATTTGTAAAAACAGGTCTAAATTACTGCTTAGGTTAATATTTTGCATGCCACCGATGCAACAACAAAGTTTTTGAGAATTTTTACCAAGCAAGGACCTGAGCCATATGTGTTAGAGAACCATACCAAAATTAGTTGGTCTGCAATGAGGAGAAGCCCTTAACTACGAGTACCAAAGCAACGGAATACACTCCAGGGCACAACCCAGAACACTCAGATCAGAACCAATTCAGAAAAGTATTTTCCCATACTGGGTCCTTCCGGGAATCAAACACGGGACTTCCTCATCCAATCCTTTGGGCCACCGAGGTCAACTAAATTATCACGAAAGATACAAATAGTCACGAAAATTGCGCTTGCCCAAACTCTTCTTCTTCCAATTCTCGATTATGCTGATGTCTGCTATCTGGATTTAACCGAAGAACAGCTTAACAAGCTGGATGTCTACAAAATTTTTGCATCCGTTTCATTTATGGTCTGAAGAAATTTGATCAAGTTTCCATTTACCGCAAGGAGCTAAAGTGGTTACCCATTAGACTTCGTCGGAATGCTCATATTCATAATCTTCTTTATGGCATCTTATTCATTCCTGACATACCACCTTATCTTAACGAGCGATTTGAATTCGCCCATCAGTACAACACTCGATGTCTGCGCTCATCTTCAACTCTCCAACTTAAGATGCCCATTACATACCTCCCAGTACTACGACAAGTCCTTTGCTGTTCAGGCAATTCGTTTGTGGAACGCTTTACTTTGTCTATAAAACAAGGAAAATTTATTGAATATTTTCAAAAATAAGACAAAAGAACAGTACCAAACTTTAGTGTGACTTAACTCACTTGAACTGCTTAAGTATTTTTATGTTTCAAAATTATGTTTTAGAAATTTTATTTTTATAGGTGTAGGAACATATGATACTTTACGATGTTCATATTATATGTATTGGGTTTATTATTAATAAATATATGTATATTTGTATTTATTTATCGTTTATCTATCTATTGATTATTAATTCTTCACACACTCCCATCTTTTTCCTGTGAGTTACAGAATTACTTCCATCCAAAGGTTGTCTGGCAGAAATCGCTTAAAGCGATAAGACCGCCCATTGTATTGCCGATTATTTTTAATTTAATTGTATTTGATTTATTTCTATTTCTTGGTGTGCAATAAGTAATCTTTGTATTTTGTATTTGCACTATTGCCTATCGCGTAATGTAAGAAAGAGTAAATTGACACCTGTTTATGTATCTTATAAACATAGGATCCATTTCTAGTTACGGGTCTTGATGTCTACTTCGCCCAAATTCGTTAATATAGTAGGGTTTATATAGGTGTAAACCTTCATGCAAAACATTGCCCCCTTTGATATCGAAAAATATGCTCCGGTCTCATTAAATCTATGGTAGGGTTCTCTGTAGTGACCTGCCTGAGTTGATACCACCGCCTATCTGTTTCGACCGTAAAAGCAGCAGTGCTGTGTTCTGGCTTGTAGAATAAAAAACTTTAGAGCAGTCATAGATACGGAAGACTCAACATCTTAAGTCTTATGAACGGCAACGTAAGTGGAATTTTGAAAGTACATTCTTCGTATTGTAAATGTCTATAAAAAGCAGTAATCACTTTTTATAAGGACTTATCCATCTACATTTAGATGTATTAATATTTGCCTATTTTTATACCATGAAATAATTCCGATACTCATATTATTGTCTCCTTATTCACTTGAATCTAGATCAGTGCAGCAGTACTATACAACAGCTATTGTAAAGTTAATTAGGAAAGTATAATAGGTGGTTACCAATAAATCACTGATAAGAAAATGTGGCAATGTCACACCGTGTGCAAACAGGCAAACAGTTTTACGAAATTGTTGCAAACTTCATACTCCACAGGCAAACTAATCTTAACTGCCTATAATTTAGTGAAATCAATATTACCTTGGTTAAGCTTTGTTATCGATATAAAAGACGTGGAGTTTAAGAATATGTACCAGTTCGCTGCAGTACATTGTATCATTAGCACATTCGAAAAACTTAACTGAAGAACAAAATGATTTCAAAGGTAAATAATAAAAGTAAAAATGTTAATAAAACAAACGGTGCTACAGTTTTAATTTAAGAGTGGTTATAAGCATTTTACTTTTATCAATGTAGAACTTCGTACATGTGATTCTTTTTATATACTTGCTAATGAACCATAATTTTGACCCCACGTTCACCTTCTTTATCCACGTAGCTTATTCCCGGTTTACCTCGTTCTCTACCAACAAGAACTGTTAGGGCAAAAGCCTTGGATATCAGTTTTGTCCCTATTTGTAGAAACACAAAAGCAGCGGTTGGATGCGATCGCTACCTTACCTGTAACTTTACCTATTTCTGCTGCCAAACATTAATGTGAGCTTTACTGTGTTCCGATTTTAAAAGGGTAAGGGTGCTGGTGAAACTACGGGCACGTGGAACTTGTCAACTTGTTTCAGGTTGACTGGTACAGTGGGAACAGGTATCCCTTAGATCTTTGCGATTTAAAGATGTGAGTGGCATTGTAGCTGCTATGGACAAACGGGTCGCTTAACACCAGACCCATGATTTGTTTGATCTGTCACTTGGTATTATAAAAAAGAATGTAAGCGGCACTAGGCCGGGACAGTCGTGCTCACGAACAGCACGCAAGCAGCAGCAAATGCTAAACTGATATGAAGATGATGAACAATAAATATTTCCTTTATCAGTGATATCAGTAATCTTACCTTCAATTACTATGTTATTTTTATTAATCCATTCCAGGTTCTGTGCCTCGCTGCCTTGGTTGCCACCGCCGTAGCTCAATATGGGCATGGCCATGGTTACTCCTCACAGCACATCCACCGTCATGACGGACCTGCTCATCTTGTGCCCGTCCACGGACACCATGGACATCACGACCATGACTATTATGTAAATATATCAATATATATGTAGGGCATTCAGAGTGGTTAAGTACCTAATTGTACATTTGACCACTTGCCAGCCAAAATCAATCAAATCAAAATACATGGTTTCTCAGATTTGTACTTGCTTAACATTGTAAACTTACTCTAGCTATTTAAAGTAAATTTTTGCTATATTTTTACTGAATATCATGTTCTTTTTACTATTACGATATTCGTCTATTTTTTGTGAAAATACTCCACTAGTTATTATTATTGATACAAAGTTCGGAAAATACAAAGAAAAATTCTCTTAATATGACTAGACACGAACCAGCATCTGTTACGTCAACATGGCCAGCCAAATTGAGAAAATTTTTCTTTGTCTTCGTACGATCTTGCATCAATAATAATAAATATTTTTCACAAATTTATTTTTGATTTTTTTTTATTTGATTATCAGTCTCAAAACTTACACTTAGCGTAATAAGTTCTACTGTTTACACGGTCGTATCCCAAATACAATTTTGCGTATGAAGTGAAAGACCCCCAGACTCACGATATTAAGTCGCAGGCTGAGCACCGCGATAGTGATCACGCCAATTTATACTTAGCGTAATAAGTCCCATTATTTATGCAGGCGTATCCCAAATACGATTTCGCGTATGAGGTGAAAGACCCCCATACCCACGACATTAAGTCGCAGGCTGAGCATCGCGATGGGGACCACGTCAAGGGATACTACGCCCTCCACCAACCCGATGGCTCCATCAGACACGTTGACTATCATGGTGACAAGCACAGCGGGTAAGATAATCACCATCATAATATAATCATTTGAGATTTTCTTACGTTGTTTATTTACGAAGTCGGGCTCGCACATCTGTGTTTTCCGGAATTAATGTGCGAAATTTAGTTTAAAATTTACCATCAGCTTCTTAGTAAAGGAAAACATCGTGATGAAACCTGCACGTCGAAGAAGGTTCACACCCCTCGGAAAACGTGTAAAGTCCCCAACCCGCATTAGGTCAGAGTGGCGGACTATGGCCCAAACCCTCGCCTGAGAAGAAACCCACGCCCAGCAATGGAACGTATAAACGAGTTGATGATATTTATTTACCATCAGACCTAAGATAGCCGACCAGCTGTCGAAACTATCGGCATATGATGAGAAGGACCTTGGTTTCATTCCTAAAAGAATTAATTTAGGAAAAGAACTTTTCTGTTAGGTACTATTGTTACGGAAGCCAATTTCCTTACTCTGATACAAGGAATTCCGTAGTGTGAAATTTGTAATTGACATGATTTTCTGGTACAAAAAAGCGAACTCAAAGCCGTCATTCACACCAAACCTCATACATTTTTCATCGCTCCATCCGACGTGTATGTAGCAAAATGCGTTCAAATGAAGATAGGGCTTATTGACGACCCTATTATTGACGAGGAATGCCTATCTGAGAATATATTGAACGCTTTTATGGATCGTACTTAAAATAGAAGCGCACACAACTTTACTAGCCCTTGTGCTTACATTGGTTGAATAAATAATTTTCAGTATGCAAATCGTAGAATTTTGTCAGTACGTTGTTGATAGTTTTCTATGGAGAAGCAGTAGGCGGCAACTACACAGAAAACACTTGGAAATCGCTCTATGTAAAGCTCGTAGATGGTTTTTTGTGATCCATATAGCGAAGCGAAATATCCTGTACTATCATATTCTGAAATTTAATTTTACACTAAACTCTATTACTGTCCATGAACGGAATAATTGCTCTGCTCATTGAAGACTATTCGAAGGTGGAAATTTGAAATGTCGTAAAGAACATTTTGTCGTAAGAGAAAATGACCTTACGGCAAAATGTCTCTTAGGACATTTCAAATTTCCACAGTCGATATAAGGGTAATAATTTTACTACTTCCGTGACCGAACGGTACCATGCCGGACTGCCACACAGAGCTCTCAGGTTCGATTCTCGGGCCGAGAGAAAAGTTTGTATGGCCTACATTTATTTCTCTCGTGAGTTTGGGTGTAATTTGTGGTTGTCTAAATGTGTGGCCATGGCACCCGTGATATAGGTTTTCCCTAGTGCGGGCCTATGTTGAGTGTGTACGTTATTAGTATAATTTTGTCGATATATCGATTTTTGGAATGTCATAAGCGACATTTTGTAATAAGAACATTTTCCATTACGTTAAAACATTCCTTACGATATTTCAAATTTCCACTGTCGCGACGGAAACGTCCTAAGAAACATTTTGTCGTAAGGTCATTTTCCCTTCAACATTTAAAAATGACCTTATTTATATTATATTAATTATATTAATTATTGATTAATGAAAGTTATTTTTTAATACAAGAAGAATACTTTAGGCTTCTTCAGAACATTAAAAAGTTCATTATCATTACTTACTACCATCTTACTACTTACACAGCCCTTCAGTCACATAATTTAATATGAATTCTCTTTACTTACAGTTTCCACGCTGACGTGAAACACAGCGTCCACCACATTGTGCCCCATCACCATCATCATTACTAAACATCTAGAGAAATTGACTATATATTGTTATCTACTTGAACCTTTCTGTGATCTTGTCTGTTTTATTTCTGTGATGCTATTTGATACTTTTGTACTTACGCCAAATATATATTTCGAATAAATTATTTCTTTACTTTTATTTCATCACAATGATAATTATACATAATATATGAAATCGAACTTTATCGTAATTCGCGTATCCATCGAAGTAACTCTAGTTCTTTCTAAAAAAATTAATTAAAAATGAAGTGAAAACAACTTCAAGAGCAATCATCTGTCACGAATGTACTGATTTTTATTACAGTAATAAGTTTTTTATAGCTTTCTTGAGTTTTTATTTATAACATTAAGTGAAAGGACGAACAAATCATGCGCCTGATGGTAATCAACACGCCTGTCCATAACAGTTACAGTACCACTCAGAGCTTTAAATTGCAAAGATCTGAGGGGCACTACAACTGCGCCCGTCACCCTGAGACATAAGTTGACAAGTCCCATGTGCCTGTACTTTCACCAGCACCCTTACCCTTCAAAACCGGAACACAGTAATGCTCACATTACTGCTTGGCGGCAGAAATAGGTAAGGTGACAGTACTTCCCTGGACGAATTCTTTCACAAGGAGCTCTACTGCTACTAAGGTTACTTTGTAATGCATTGCATTCCAGATTAATGAATATTGAATACCAACAAATATCAGTGATTTTAATTAAATAACGGTCGGCATTGTTAAAACTAATGATATTATATGAAACTGTACAATACACAAGACAAGCCAAGACAAATGAAGACCATTATTCACATTTTTCACCCATATTTAAAAAACATGAAATTTCTTCATTTTCTTGCTCTTTTCTTACTTAATTAAGGAATTTATATATAAAAATGGCGTTCGAACTAAGAATTTAAATAAAACTAAATTAAGAATTTAATTTAATTTAATTTTTTTTTTTCGTTTGAAATCAAACATGGCTACCGCTGTATTATGTGTATTGTATTGACAATTTCACACTTTAAATCTCTAATATTAACTACAATAATCGTTATAAAGACTGGCTTTCTTAAGAAAAACGAGTTAAGGGTAAAAAGTTACAATTTGTGGAAACATTATTGATAAAATGGACACATATGGGCCGGTAAAAAATATGAAATCTCTAATTGAGTAGCAGGAATAATTTAAACTTTGGTATTCGCATTCAAAGTTAAATGTTGCTTTTTGTTAAAAAAAAAGTGTTGTTCAGATTTAGTGGTCTTTAGTATCAAACTGTATGAACATTAACTTTAAGTTAGTTTAAGCTTCTTATAATAATAGGGGTTTAAATATGAAATGGCCGATTTATTTTACTGGCCACTTTAAATTAAAATTAAACCTGTATGGTGTCCGATTTCAGAGTGAAACGTTTTTCACACGAAAAGTAAAACATGCTTAACTTAAAAAACATGATATTTGATTGTTCGACTTTCAATTGTTTTTACATTCAGCTTTTAACGTGAAGACAGATACAGCAAAAATCTGAGTACCTAATTTTCGAATACGAATTTCCACAGAGTTGGAGTTAACGTAGCAGAAACTGTCAATGCTGTATTTGGAGAGGATACGGCATACGCAAATACGGCAAACGCCGGCAATACGGCAAATTACGACTTAAAGAAAGAACCACGAGGAAGACCAGTCACAAATGTATAAATAACGTTGAATTGAAGGTAATGATGAAAGCCGATCCGTATCAAACTACCACGAAACGTCATGGTTTAATGTTAGCATACCCACAATATGACATATGGCGTTTGAATAATGACGACGGAACTCGCAGCAAAACAGCTTCACCAAATAATATAATAAAAATAAATAACGCACACACTCAACATAGCCCCGCACTAGGGAAACCCTGTGTCGCGGGTGCCATGGACACACATATAGACAACCACAAATTACACCCAAACTCACGAGAGAAATAATTGTAGGCCATACAACTATTTCTCTCGGCCCGGGAATCGAACCTGGGACCTCTGCGTGGCAGTCCGGCATGGTAACCGTTCGGCCACGGAGGCAGTTAAGCACCGTTATTGCTCTATGATAACTCAACACCTCACACTGCTTGAGAAACAGTTTTACTACTACAAGACCTGCAGATATAAATTATCCATCATCCTACATATTCGTCGGACCTCGCCCCGACCGACTACCATTTTTTCCCGCAATTTGATTTTTTTTTGTATGTTAATAAAATTCCCAGGAAGCAGTACAAAAATCCCTTCACACAGCTGTGGAGTCCAGGTCTCCAGACTTCTATCGCAAAGGTTTAAATGACCTTCCGATTACATGGCAGAAATGTATAGACAACAAGGGAAAAAACTTTGATTAAACAAATATATTTAATCTTAAAAAAATTGTTTTAATTTTTCAGTGCGAAACGGCAATTTCATACTTTAACCCCTAATATTTACTGTTGGCATGCACAAGATATGCCTAAGCAATTTGGACTTACCTACTGTCACTGCTAGCTAAAGCTCAGAAAATTATATTTTAGTCAGCGGCTGTACTTTATAAACAACAACCTTTTCCCAAGCAAAAATATATATTTTAACAAATATTTGTTCAATAGCTCTAAAATGCCATCCACGTAAGTGTATTGGACTTTTCCTCAATTGTAACATAGTCAAATAGATATATATGATATGATATATGCAATCGTCTTAAATTGACTTGTTTCTTACGCTTAATAGTCAGTTGTCGAATATCTCGTTTAGAATAAACGAGTTTTTTTTAATAACAATTGGAGCAAAATCACCGCTATGTCTTCATCAATGAATTCATTATTAAAAAACTGGCCCTAGAAACGTATTTTGTATCTAAAGAAAGACCCGCATTATGTCAGACTCTTAAATTACAGTCTTCAGTCTGCGCTTGATTTGGACACGGACCAATATAATGCTACAATTTTGCTGCCGTGGGTTTTGGTAGAAGTTATGACAAAGTTACCTTTCAGCTACGTTCCGTACTCATTCCATTCTACACGCCCTCCAATATGTCAGATCACATCACATTTATCATAACTACCACTGTTACTATTGTTAAATAATAAGAGAAGCTATTTAAAGGCATGTGTCTATGTGTCCGAAACGAAATGCAGATGGCGGAAGGTGCCGATTTACTCTGCTCATTGTAGGACAGTTATCGTTATGGTACACGGATCTATAGACACTATAAAATAATCGGATTCATATCGTATAAAACTCAATCAATCCACCTCTAAAGAGGTTTCCTTTGCTTGACAATCCAAATATATGTATGTGGTATATATTGCAAAGTTACATCCAAATTAAAAATTCAAAGTTTCCAGAAATAATTATGTATGCCATCGAAACACCTCTAACTGGGTATATTTTATTAAATGTTGGAGAGTGCATAAGACTGTGCTGAGGCAGCGATACGTAATTGCGAAATAATTGCGTTCGTTTGATTCCTTGCTGTATCATTATTACTAAAGCTTTAATAATGAAATTAATGTATAAAATATTTAAGATATCACTCTATAAATGATACTCTCTAGAAACACGATTACTTGTAGTTCTCTTGATAGAAAAAAAAATACAAAGTTATCTCTAAAAAACAAAATAAACCCTTAGTAAGGCGTAAATATTTCACGGAGGTGATCAGAATTTGAATAATAACAAAACTACATCTTTTCTATATATCTATACTCCGTACATTTTCAAATGTGTATGTCACGTCCCACGCGGTCCGCCCATACTAGTCAGAGCCGCCACGCTTCACCCCTGTCCACTTTAGCCCTGCTTCGACCATCAGACGTCTCCACGTCTCCATCTCCATTGTGTCTTATGTCGCTTGGGCTTAGACACAGTTTTAAAAAGGTACGCATAGAATACCTAAAATCAATTAGCGCTTCTAGCTCGGTGTCCTCTTAAGATTGCTATTTTTTTTTAAAAGTCAAAGGCAACTCTATCCCATTGTTCTTTTTTCGTTCTTAAATCTAATCTACCCACTGCAATCCCTTTGACGGGTTTATACGCAGGTGGCTTCAGTTATAGCATAGCATACTGCATTTTCTTTATCTCTTTAAAAAATATTAAATTCAAAAATTAAAATATTTAATGAAAGAAGTTATAACAAGTAATAGTACCAATAATAATGTTTTTAAATTTGACGTTACGATAACTAATACTACGACTAATAACAACAACCATTTATCATTATCATCAACACATTTGTACGTCCCACTGCTGGGCACGGGTCTCCTTTCAAACGAGTGTTTAGGCCACAGTCCGCCATGCTGACCCAATGCGGGTTGGAGACTTCACACGTTTTCCGAGGGTTGTGAACCTTCTTCAACGTGAAGGTTTCTTCACGATGTTTTCCTTCACTAAAAAGCCCATGATAAATTTCAAATTAAATTTCGCACATAAATTCCGCGAAACTCAGAGGTGCAAGCCCGGCTTCGAACCCACGACTCTCTGCTTCAGAGGCAGTAGGTTAAACCATTAGGCTACTACGGCTTCCCGGCTTATAATAATAATAATACTTAAACATATTTCTGAAACATTTTTGAAAACTTCTTAGAGGCTAATTCCAATAATAAATGTAGGAATAATAACTACTAATACAAATTACTTTTTTACGCTTTTACTTTTTTTTCTTATGATACCGAGTCACGGCATAAACAATATCATGCGCCTGGTGATAAGCGACACGCCTGTCCATAACAATTGCAGGCCGCTCAGAGCTTTAAATCACAGATTTGTTGGGCCACTACGACTGTCACCCTGAGATATAAGTTGACAAGTCCCACGTGCCTGTAACTTCACCAGCACATCTTCAAAACCTTAACGTAGTAATGCTCACATTTCTGCTTTGCGGCAGAAGTTGGCGGTACTTCCCTGGGCGAACCTTTTCACATGGAGCTCACTGCTACCAAAATTTTTTTAATGTCAAGTTTGTATTTTCGCAATTCATCGCATATAAACGATAATTTAACCTTTTATTATAATAACAGGAAAGAACTAAAGCAAAAAGTCGCATGTGTAACCACAATATAATTTGCTAAGTCAATACAGTTAGCTGTGAGTAAGTAGTTAAACGAAGTTAACTGCTACAGTTTTGCGAAATTGTTTCTAACCGCAACTTTAATACTTTTACTGCCTATAATTACCATGAAATCAATATCGCTTTGATAGATATAAAAACACGTGGTTTTCGAAAAAAAGATCAGTTATCCACTAGTTCTGGAATCTGTAACATTTAACCATACAACATGATTGCTAAGGTAAGAGATCATTCTTATTTTGTATTTAAACAAGAAAAAAATATTTTCAAAAATAGTATTTATTAATATTTTTGATTTATTAATAAATACTATTCTATATCTATATAATAAGTTAAAGTTGGGTATTTGTAAAGTATTCCTCACTCATATATAAGATGAGGGGTGGAAGATTATAAATCGCAAAGAACGAAGCTGCACATATAGTTATGATCGAACTTTACGTAAGGTCGTTTGATTGTCAGTTATAATATAGTCTGGAGACAATCAACTGCAAGTTTCATTATCTGACGCAGAGGTTTCGGGTTTGATTCCTGGGTCGAAATAATTGTATGTCTATATTTATTTTTCTCATGAGTTTAGATGTAATTTATGGTTGTATATGTGTGTGTGTCCATGGCACCTGCGATACAGGCTTTCCCTAGTTGTTTATTTTACTTATAAAATGTCTGTTTGACAAAAATAAACACACAGTTGACACTTTAGATTCTGTGCTTCATTGTACTAATTGCTGCCGTCGCCGCCCAATTCGGTGGCGGGTTCGGTGGTTTTGGTGAGGGGTCCGACGGAGGATCTGGTGGACACGGCCATCATGCTTTTTCATCTCAACACATTCAACGACATGACGTTCCTGGACATCATGAAGAACACCACCATGATTATCATGTACGTTTGTTATTTATATGCTGAATTCCTTTATACAGTTTCGTATCTTTATTGAATATCATGATATTTTTAACCGACTTCAAAATTGGAGTAGGTTCTCAATTCGACTGTATGTTCTTTTTTTACTACTATGATATTCATGTATTTTTGTGAAAATATTATACTAGTTTATTGTTATTATTGACATAAAGATGGAACAATATAAAGATTTTTTAAAAGTTTTTATTGAATGTCACGATGTTTGACCACCATAATATTCAATTATTTTTGTGAAATTACTCCACTAGTTTGTTATAATTATTAATACAAAGATCGAACACTAAGAAAAATTCCTTCGATCCGGTTGGATTCGAACCAACGTCTTCCAGCAAACCATGCCAGAAGACCGTCTGGCATGGTTTGCTGGGAGACCTTGGTTCGAATCCAGTCGGATCGAAGGGATTTATTCTCAGTGTTCGATCTTTGTAAAAATAATAATTACAAAGAAAAATACCTTCGGTCTGACTGGACTCGAATCGCTGTCTGTAACCACACCGAGTCCATCGCTCTTATCAACTGAGCTACAGACCGAGATGGCAGTTCTTACGAATTTTTATAAGTGCTTGTTGCAGATTTTGTATAGGGTATATACGTTTTTTTTTTTGCCGTCAGCGACACTTGTGAGATACTTATGAGAGCTTGGCAACAGGCGCTGCGCTGGTTCAAGTCCAGTCAGATCAAAGTAATTTTTCTTCGTGTTGTTCAATCTTTGTATCACTAATAGTAATGTGATTTGCTTTCATTAAACTTCATTATTACTGTCCAATAGCCAAAATGAAACAAGACAATACCGCACCACGTAAGTCATATGTATTTTGCTTACAGTGTTCTCATAAAATAATAATTATTACATTATAATGTGGAATTAAATTGTGTAATTCCATCGTACACTCAAGGCCAGTTGATATTTAACAGAACCATCCCATAGTATATTCTAAAAAGATTTTTTCAGACTTTATATATTTTTTATACCAGTCTCACCCCAAATACGAGTTTGCCTACAAAGTGGTAGACCACCATACTAAGGACATTAAGGATCAGCATGAGTCCCGTGACGGCGACGTCGTGAAGGGCTACTACTCCTTGCATGAACCCGACGGCTCTGTCCGACATGTCCATTACCACGGTGACCACCATTCTGGGTAAGATTTACTATATCGTTGATTGACCAAACACAATTTTCTTTGTTTATGGCATAGCTATTAATTTAATTTAACGATTTTTTGCCACATACATTATTGCATGCAACTGTGTCGATACACTTTGTTGCTCAACAAGGTACACCATGATAGTTAAATTGTAACAGTTGTATGATCTACGACACCGTTTCCTTGATTACAATATAAAAAGAGGTACGTATGTTTGGTGAGAACATAATTACGTGTGGTCACTATAGTTATATACAATCCTCAGTGAAGATAGGATTTAGGTCTTGCTGTTGGATACGTCTCAAGGAAGCTTAAGGCCTATTCAGACATACACGATATTCGGTAGCGCTGTGGGTAGCGCAATCCGAATGGGTATGCGGTATTCCTACAGTTTAAACCTAAGCAGATATCGCTACCGCTAGTAGCGTAGCATATAAGTAGCAAAACTGTCTTAATTTTTCGCCCATTTAGACAATTATCTGTGCCATCAGTGACTAAGACACTGAAAAAGACATTCATCATTTGACTGTTTCGACATCATGATCGCAAATGAGTCTTTCCGTTATGTCAACTAATCGTCTCTAGCTGACTTGCGGGGTGTGCCAAGGGGATGAATTTGGGAAAAATACTGGGTAATATGGCGTGGTATCTCATTTTCGCTCTAGCCGCGGAACTTCATACCCGGCGGATTACCGCGCGGTGTCTTTCGCTACCCACAGCGGTAGCGAATATCGCTTATAAGTGAATAGACCTTAAAAGTGTAACTAAGTTTTGTATAAATATTTTACAATCTTTTTCAGATTTCATGCTGATGTCAAGCACAGCACCCATCACGTTGTACCTCACCACCACCATCATCACTATTAAATTACTAGATTTTGTCATAATTGATCACACATAAGATCTCTTAAAATTTACCAAAATCTCATGGAATTTTATATAAACCTCTTTTTCATCGCTTTAATTAAAGCTTTTTCTTAAAAACGATGAGCAGCTTGAGAAATTGTTTTCATGAGATTGGTCGATTTTAATAATGGCACTGAATATTGTACTTAGTTCGTCTATTGTTTAAAAATGTTGTGTTGCGTTAATAAAGCTTTATCAAATAATATAATTCTTGTATATTTTAATACAAACAATATCCTTCACGACCAAATTAAGTAATACGCGCTACTAGTAGTACCTCTGTACGTGAAACTTCTTATACATCAATATTTACGTCTAAAATATGTATTGAGTACTTCAAAGAGTTGAGTAAGAAAAATTCTTATTTTTTAGTCAGATTAGAACCGGTACTTTTAATAAATTGAAAGGGCCTTAACAATATGTAACATTGTAACCTATAAATGAGGAAATCGTTTAACAAAACTTGTTACTATTGTTTTAAATCACGCAATCATTAATTGGTTTAGTAAAGACTGAAAACCTAAATTTAAATTATTCAGTATCTATAAATAGAACATAATTCATTATTCGGACATAATAGCGTCTGCCACGGTTTGCTGAAAAACGTTGGTTCGAATCTTTTTCTAAGTGTTCGATCTTTGTATTAATAATTATAATAAACTAGTGGAGCAATTTCACAAAAATAATGGAATATCTCGTCAAACATCGTGATAATCAATAATCTTAAAAATTACAAAAATGAAATATATTATAATATACATATTCGCTCTATACACACAAGTATACACAATTCAAATGAAAAAAAACACAAACACTTTCTGTTCTGTACTTCTTGTATTCTAATAAATTAATCATTCAATGTCAAACTGACCATGTTCAATAGCAATTAAATGCGGAAATATGAAATCGTTTGAAAACACAAAATACGAGTTATAGAACTATTCAATTCCACAAGCGTGCGGCGCTAGGATGCCGCTGTAGTGTCTTCACTAGGTCTTAGCTGGTAAGAAAATACTTTCTTGTGGATATGGTGTGGTGTGGTAGGTATCTTAGATATAGGTACACTACCTACACTGGTACCGTGGTGTCCAAACCAATTAACTGATACTGCGTGCAAGGAAGCACAAGCGGAACGTAGTCCTTGTAGCTACTTGAGCTGCTAGAAGACAGTGTACTCTACGTCCAGGCGTTCGTGATAATAAATAATGGTCAGCCTTGAGTCGCTTGAACTGAGACGGAAGACTAGGCTTCTTACCCCCTACTGCCTACTCATACGCCATAAAATAGATAATCCTTCCATTCTCGAAAGACTGGGTCTATTTGTGCCTGATAACAGACGGCGTGTTTGCAACCTTTTTGCTGTCCCCGGAGAGCGTACTCTACAGGGTCACAATGCGCCAACCATCAGGGCAGTTATCATGCTAAATGAGTTCCTAGCGCACAACCAGATTGCTGATGTGTTCGCGGACAATTTGTCTCAATTCACAGCTGCAATAGCACGCCATGTTAACTTAATTTTTTATAAAACTTATAATAAATAGGTAGTCTTGTATTATATATTTCCAATTTATGGATTTTATTTTGTTATTACTATTTTCTTGTATTTAAGATGTCGTTATTATATGAAACTTAATTTGTCATGCTGGACGTTTGGATTGACTTGTAAGTCCATGAAGAGTCTTCTTATAAATAAATACAAAATAATGGCGTTGACTTCTGTTGTTCTGGTAAGCGACACGCTTGTTGCCGTACTACTCAGAGCTTTAAATTGCAAAGATCTAAGAAACACTGCCACTGCGCCCGTTATCTCCATTATCTCGATCTCCATTACACCGCAGTTCACGCATGTTTGTTTTTTAAAGTAACTGCACTTACTCTTGACTACTACCTAGCACTGGAGCATAGAGATACTAGAGCTCAAGTATATGCAATATTTTTCTTTCTTATCTCAAACGTCTATAAGTAACAGTTACAACTATTCATCAAGTACGTCGTTTATATCAATTGGAAGACTAAACTGTTGTCTCTGCCTACCCCGATGGGAAAAAGACATGAAGTATATGTATATATGTAATGCAACACACTCATAGCCCCGCACTAGGGAAACCCTGCGTCGCGGGTGCCATGGACACACAAATAGACAACCACAAATTACACCCAAACTCGCGAGAGAAATAAATGTAGGCCGTACACATATTTCTCCCGACCTGGGAATCGAAACCAGGACCTCTGCGTGGCAGTCCAGCAGATAGCAATTCGGCCACAGAGGCAGTTTTCTATACGTTCAAAATAACAACAATAGCATGAGAAGTCATTTTTTTAACGCATACAGTCATAGCCCCGCACTACAGAGACCCCATATCGCGGGTGCCATGGACACACATAGACATCGATAAATTACACTCAGACTCACGAGAGAAATCAATGTAGGTCACACAAACATTTCTCCCGGCCCGGGAATCAAATACGGGACCTCTGCGTGGCAGCCCAGCGGGTAACCAACCGTTCAGACACTGCGGCAGTCAAACTAACACTCAAGTTAACACTTTTCTTTGATGTACAATCAATTAGACATCGCGAAAAGAATGTTAGCTAACGCCATTGACCTATTGTTTGTTGGTAGGCAATGGATATACGTTAAAGAAAATTTTGGTATCACATTAACTTGTAGCTCTACGCGATCCAGCTGTCACCAAAATTTCGTAAACTTGTCATAAAAGGGCATAATTCACTGTAAAACATAACGACACATTATATAAAAGTTATTTCTATGAAATAAGTCGTAATTTTATATTATATTATATAGGCCCGTAATAAAATGTGATGAAATCATACGTCAACTACACGAGCACGTTATAAACCACTTTCCAGTGAGTTACCTGGTGGTTAAATCGATTATAATGAATTTACATGTAAGTAAGTTACACGTAAAATTGTAATAATAATAATGTGCCAGTAAACCACATCGATAACCTGATCTCAAACTAGGGAATACCCTGTACTAAGACTACCAGACCAATGGAATTCACCAGGCACTTCCCAGAATACCCAAACCAGAGCCAATTTAGAAAGTTCATTTCGCAATTTGGTCTAGCCAGGAATCGAACTCGGGACCTCCTCATCTAGCGCCTACAGTATTTATACTGTAGGGCCATCAATGGGCCAACCAAGTCGTCAATTGTGTACGTATGTAATCATCTCATTAGGCCTGAAATAGTAATGAAAATGCCTTTTTTTCTACTAATTTAGGTAATGATTGCTTTTTACAGGTGTTATGTTTCACATTAATAACTGCAGTGTCCGCAGAGTACGGTCACAACCACGGATATAACCACATGCGTTCTTTCTCGGCACAGCACGGTCACAACCATGGTGACCATCAGCATGCACATGATCATGGTCTCAATCACGGCCATGGTCATGGGGGACATAATCACAATAACGATTATTTTGTAAGTCTTACAGATCATTGACTTGAAGAGAAAGCTATAAATAATTATATCGCAATTTCAACAAGATTCTAATTCAGTCTAATTGTCAAGTTTCCGAGAAAATAAACATTTATTTTCTCGGAAACTGAGGATTTTCCATTTAATACACGATATCGAAAATATTGTTATTTGGCTAATTTGTATTAATCAGCTGTGTTAATGATTACAGATGACAGGAATGTTCAGACGGGTAAATATATATATTCTTACTCTGAAAAATAAATCATCACTCAATTCTAAATTAAATTTAATTTGTAAAAATAAAATTAATAAAAATGTACGTTATTTAGTCATCTCCCCAATTAAGACGCACTTTTACGTCTTTTTTTGCAAATGCATCGGCTAATACCTTTTCGTAATAATGTAGATTAACAATCAAATATAACAAGTACTGGGTAATTTTCAGGTTAGTTTTCTCTATCTAATTTCGGTGGCAACTTTATTATTCAAGTTTTCGAGTATATAATCGTGAAATATTAAATAATATTTCATGATACTACACTCGAATATTAAATACTGTTTCGTGATAATATTCAAATAATAAAATTTGCCACCGAAATTAGGTAGAGAAAATTTTCGAAAATTACCCTACTAAATCACAATGTCACCTACTATCTCATCCTTTACATTTTTTTCTACACATTTTAAAATATTTTTGTATTAGTGTAATTTTAATTAAATTGCTTTTTTTTGTTTCAATTCGTCAGTCGTTTCCACACAACAACATACCAGTGGGCAATTCTCACGTGCAAATGCAGCATCAGCTTTCAGGACATCAACATACGGGCCATCAACATGCGGCGCATATGAACTACGCCAATTTCGGTTACAACGTGCCTTCCTTTTTTAGACGTTCTGGTACTGACTACCATGACCACGTTGGGTAAGAACTGTTTAACACTGTAGAATATTGAACGCATTGTTCAGCGTAGGTATCTTCTAAGGAGAGCGACTTTTGTTAAATATTGTATTTTGTTTGGAACTTGTTACTTGTTTAATATTTTGCGGCTATATTTTCACGTAATTTACGATCTGAAGTCGAGATAATACCCTGGTATTATAGTATTAGAACGACGAGATTAGCCTTACTAGGAACAGATAATAGGGTCAGGCGTTACTTTACGAAAATTAATGTAATTAAAAATAGAAATCAATTAATTAATCATAAAATAAAGTTTCTTTCATCCAGCCGGTTCGAAGTGAATTTATATTATTACAATTATTAAAGTGACATCTCTAGTGAACCGCTGGTAGCTGCAAAGGTATCCGCCTGAGTAAAGCAAAAAATGTTTATAGATTTCTCACAGATGGCGCTACGGCAAAGAAGTCGTTAAAAACCAAAAACGAAGATCCAGCTGGATAGAAGTAACTTTTCTTAGTGTTCAATCCTTGTATTCATATTTATAGTAAATTACTTTGTTATTCCGCGAACCCAATGAAGATGAAATATTGCAAAATAGCTGCGCTTGTGTTGAAATTATTTCTTTCATTTGGTTAATTTTCCCACCCTCCCTTTACAATGAATAAAATAATAATACAACCACAACTATTCTGCCCTCGTAACGAAAAAAGGCACAACTATGCGTACTTTACACAGCAGTTGTGCCTTTTTTCGTTCCGATGGCAGTATTGTCACAAAAACCACTACTAGAAATATTACCTGACCCCGACCCGTGTTTCATCTCACTTCGAGACACCCTCAGGGGTTATTTATTTAGCTGAAGAATGAATGGAGGGTGGGAAAATTTACTGCATGAAAAAATTATAAAACACACACAGCTATTTTCACGGTGTTTACGAAGTAGCAAAGCAATCATTTCCATTTTTAATATTAACAAATACCCTTATATTATATATCTTTATTTTATTGGAAAACAGGCCTCTCACGCAAAGTCAGCCCTTACACCACTAACATCGTCAAAGTAAGACAAAGATAAAGTTTTAAATGTTTCAAAATTATGGTATTCTTTACAGGGCCCACGCTAACATGCAGCACAATCATCACGATCACCATCATCATTAATTTAGCCATCATATGTAAAGTGTAACGAGTCACTTCTGGGTCCTAAATGGTGGCCCTAGTATTGATGTTTTTGTTAATTTTTTGTACATTTCTGGAAGAAAATTAAATTATAATAATTTTGTCGATCTTCTTATTTTATTTGATACTCCTTTACTACATTGTCGTGAAATGAAAGATCAAATTAGTCAATCAGTCAATAAAATAATAAGCATTGGCAATTAAATTAATTAGTCGTTGAAAGACAAAGTACAAAGACACGACGCAAGCGCATAGGAAAATTCGTGAGGTCCGTTGGTTTGTTCCGTGGCTTAGTTAGTATAGCGTCTGGCACGGTATGCAAGAAGACGTCGGTTCGAATCCGACCGGATCGAAGGAATTTTTTCTGAGTGTTCGATCTTTGTATTAATAATTGTAACAAACTAGTGGAGTAATTTCACGAAAAATAATTGAATATCAATTCAATAAAAATTTAATTAATGGCAATTAAGGTAAATATTCGTAGCAGAAAAGTGTCATGTTTTCAATAATAGTGTTTGAACCGCCAAATCATTTTCGTTCTGATTCAGTAAAATTCAAATTTAGTGCGATATGTTCATCATGTGAATACATATAATTTGTACCAATACAATATTTTTCATAAAATTAGGTGTGAGTCAAGCTTAAAAACTTGTCAAAAGAGTGCATTTCAAGGCTACGAAATACACGTTGCATAGGTTTACCAAAATTGTGCACAAGCACATGTCTAATAAAACTGGTTTCCAGCTCTGAATTCTTGCGAAAAAAATTGATTTAAAATGTATACACGCATAAAAAGCTGAGTATAAAAGCATAATGTGTCAGTAACATATTACCAGTGATCAATTAGTGTTCTTAAGGTGCACACCTGAAAAACTCGATATGCATTCAAAGGTAAATTTGCCATACGTTAAAGTTAAAAGTTCTCATGAAATCTGTCATCGATTGTTCGTTTTGTCTTTGGTCTTTGAAATTGAAATTTAATAAAATATTTTCTTATATTTTCAAATATACTTTATAGTAGTCTTGGGTATAACAGAATAATTAAAAAATAAAAGAAGTTTTAATAGAACTCTGTTTCGGCAGATTTTACTTCTCGCCGCTACATTAGCCGTAGCTGCGGCGCAATCTCAAGAAAGCCATAGTCACAGCCACGGTCACGCTTATTCATCGCAAAAAATAGTAGTGCACCACACCCATCATGAGCCGAAGCACCACGAACCGAAGCACCATGAACATAAAGAGCATAAACATGAACAGCAGTCTTCCGGTCAACAAGGGCACCACGAACAACACGCGGCTTTCTCTTCACAGCAGATCCATCGTCATGATGTGCCTTCCAAAGCTCCTGCTGATCACTATGAATACTACGTGAGTTACACTCACTTCATTATTTTGAAAATATGCTGTTTCAGTAAATAGTTTTAGTATGAGTGTGGTCATAAATTATCTTGGTATTTAATGTTATTTTTGTCCACAGAGTCACCCTAAGTACGAGTTCGAATACAAAGTTGAGGACCACCACACCAAGGACATCAAGTCGCAACATGAGTCCCGTGACGGTGACGTGGTAAAGGGCTACTATTCCCTGCACGAGCCCGACGGCACCGTCAGGATTGTCCACTACAGTGCCGACAAAAAGAGCGGATTCAACGCGCACGTCGAGCGCAAGGGTCACGCCATACATGAATACCACCACCACCATTGAATTTATGACAAGCTGTTTAAATAAATCTATTGTTTTTGTTTGTTGGCTAATATGTAAATAAAAGTAAATAAACTTCTCAAAAAATAGAATATTTTTAATTGTACTTTAGCGAATAATACATTTTTATAACACGCTTTAGTACGTCGATTTGCAAAGTTTTCAGATGGAAATACAATATCATGGTCAAGCACTCAAAATTAACTAATTGTCCATATAACATTGACTTACAAAATATAATGAATATTTATGATGGAGTGGACTTTACGAGTTGACTTTAGACGACAGATCTAGGGCACGTTAAGCTTTTTTTATTTGAATCATTCAAATAATGTGATAGATGTGCAAACAAAACTATTTAATAAGGAATTCATTAAAGTGCTAAAATTTTCTTGTGCATTATTTAGACTATTATACTAAACTATTTCATAGTAAATAGCAGTAGAACTTAGGTCAGCTCTTTTAATCAGAGTAACAACATCGTAAAACAAAAGTACTCATAGGAAATGAAACCATCCGATCTAAATCGAGTATATTTGTTTTTTCAAACAAAACAACGTTGGTTTGTTTGAAAAAAAAAACTAAATTGCGAAAACCTAAGAACAAAAGTACTCATTCAAAAGAAACGTAAAACAAACGTACGTAAAACAAAGCTTACAGCCAGTATTACATATTTCAATGCGCCCTGTTAATATTAGCTGCGTAGCCTTAACTAAGAACTATGAATGGTTAAACGCAGAACTGGTACACAATGTTCATGTTTACAAACAGGCAATGACTTAGTATACTTATACTTAGTATACTGCCAACATGTCTATAGTCGGCTGATACAACAATTCAATACCATTTTCTAATAGCTGTTTTATGTAATGAAACCGAAAGCCAATTTGTTGAGTACATTTGAATCGAATAGGGTTATAGGCTAACTTTTGTGCAGAGTGATTGTCGTTACACAGACGACAAAAAGTAGTCTGACTAAGTAACTCTCGCATAAATGTCCGCAAGTAGACAGCTTCATTGGCATCATCACTTAACGCCACATACTCCGCCTCCGTAGATTCGTCTACTCCCACACTAGTTTGCTTGTAGGAACCCTAAAACACGGTGTTAACAGTGTAAATACGTAACCAGTATATTATTTTCGAAATACCTGCCCAATACTGCTCTAAACGAGGTGTGATATTGAATTTCTTAAATACTAAGCATAAATGCTTAAAAAACTTACAAAGCTTACGGGCAGTATCGCATACTTGAATATAGGCTATTAAAAATAGTCAAATTAATCGCTTTAGTGAACGCCTATCATAGTTATGTAGTTATCAAGCTTAGATATGAAATCCTCTTTTAGGACATGCACGAAACATTGAGCACTTCCTCAAAGCTCAATAAAGATATTCAAAGTATATGTGCCTTGAAAAAAAAAACTTAAAGTTTCCAACTACACTTGACAAAAAGTTGAAAATGTAATCCCTGCACTCCTTATACATATGTATTTAAAATTGCACTTTTCGTAAATCATCCTGATTTATTTTAATTCGTCACAAGCCGACGCCATTCTGGTCAACTGCAAACTACACCATATATAACTGCTCTACTTCAAGAGAGTGTAATAGTATAATGTTTTGATCGAAAAATCGTATTACAAAATTGAAGACTACGTGTTAGATAAAGATGTATGGAAAGACAACACGGCTCCAGAATCCACTGAAATTTGATTCAAAGTGTATTCCATAGCATTTAAGTTTATTTGAAAAGAGCAATCCCTAGAGTTTCTTGCTCGTTCTTCTCGGGGAAGTCAGCGTAGTGAACGAGCAGTAGCTTAAATGTGACGTTTTCAAGTGTAAATTTATTTTACCTATGGAATAAATAATCTATGACTTTGACTTTGAATGGCTTGGAAGATCTAGAACAAATTTCCATGTGAAATTAGAAATTGCAACAATTGTGTATAATTAAGAATTTTTATATAATAGGTAGGCATTGCAAAAGCGAGAAAGCTTCAAAAGAACCCTAAAGATGTTGTTGTATATTATGTGCAAAGTTGTATGCTCGTTGTGTGAAATTGATCAACAGTGCACCTGTATGAAAATTCTGGCAGTAAGCTCTAAACAGAGCCATTTTGAACCTGTTTGTAAATATGGTCATTATGTACCTGGGTTTCACCGTTCACAGTTCTTTATTAAGGCTATGCAGCTAATATTAATAGTGCACATTGAAATAGGTAATACGGGCAGTAAGCTTTGTACGTCTCTTTTTAACCGACTTCAAAAAAAGGAGGACGTTCTCAATTCGTCTGTACATGTTTTTTTAGTATCTATGTTACGCGATCCGCCATTTGTGAACCAATTTTGATGATTCTCTTTTTGTTGGAAAGAAGGTACCTCAGATGTGATCCCATTTTACTTTGTTTTACGATGTTGTTACACTGCTTAAAAGTTCGTACCTAAGTTGTACTGTTTTTACTACGAAATATATTTTATTACAATAGCCTAAATAATGCACAAGAAAATTTTAGCACTTTAATGGATTCCTTATTAAATTATTTACACATCTATCACATTATTTGAATTATCAAACTAAAAAAAGCCTAGGTCTGTCGTCTAAAGTTAACTCGTAAAGTCCACTTCATTATAAGTATTCATAATGTGTTCGTTATATGGAAAATTATTTAGTTTTGAATTATTGCCCATGATATTGTATTTCCATTTGAAAACTTCGCAAATCGACGTACTAAACCGTGTTATAAAAAATTTATTATTCGCACAGTACAAATAAAAATATTATATTTTAATCAAGTTTAATTACATTTATTTACACATTAGCCAACAAACAAAAACAATAGATTTATTTAAACAGCTTATCATAAATTCAATGGTGGTAGTGGTATTCATGTTTGGCGTGACCCTTGCGCTCGACGTGCGCGTTGAATCCGCTCTTCTTGTCGGCACTGTAGTGGACAATCCTGACGGTGCCGTCGGGCTCGTGCAGGGAATAGTAGCCCTTCACCACATCACCGTCACGGGACTCATGTTGCGACTTGATGTCCTTGGTGTGGTGGTCCTCAACTTTGTATTCGAACTCGTACTTAGGGTGACTCTGTGGACAAAAATAACATTAAATACCAAGATAATTTATGACCACACTCATACTAAAACTATTTACTAAAACAACATATTTTCAAAATAATGAAGTGAGTGTAACTCACGTAGTATTCATAGTGATCAGCAGGAGCTTTGGAAGGCACATCATGACGATGGATCTGCTGTGAAGAGAAAGCCGCGTGTTGATCGTGGTGCCCTTGTTGACCGGAAGACTGCTGTTCCTGTGTATGCTCTTTATGTTCATGGTGCTTCGGTTCGTGGTGCTTCGGCTCATGATGGGTGTGGTGCACTACTATTCTTTGCGATGAGTAAGGGTGACCGTGGCTGTGACCATGGCTTTCTTGAGATTGCGTCGCAGCTACGGCTAATGTGGCGGCGAGAAGTAAAATCTGCAAAAATTGAGTTTTATTAAAACTGCTTTTATTTTTTTATTATTTTATTATACCGAAGGCTACTATAAAGTATTTTTGAGAACACAAGAAAATATTTTATTCAATTTCACATCAAAGACCAAAGACAAAACGAACAATCGATATCAGAAGAATCAGATTTCGTGAGAACTTTTAACTTTAATACGCATGGCAAATTTACCTTTGAATGCATATCGAGTTTTTAAGGTGTACCTTAAGAACACTAATTGATCACTGATAATATGTTACAGGCTTATTATGCTTTTATACTCAGCTCTTTATGCGTGTACACAGCTTAAACCAATTTTTTTCGCAAGAATTCAGAGCTGGAAACCAGTTTTATTAGACATGTGCTTATGAACAACTTTGGTAAAGCTATGCAACGTATATTTCATAGCCTTGAAATGCACTCTTTTGACAAGTTCTTGAGCTTGACTCACACATAGTTTAAAAAAAAGTACACAATATAATTTGCACCTATGCCAATTATATGAATTCACATGATAAACATATTGCACTAAATTTGAATCTTACTGAATCAGAACGAAAAGGATTTGGCGGGTCAAACACTATTATTTGAAATATGACACAATGATGATTCGACAACGAATATTTACCTCAACATTGCCTATTATTTTATTGACTGATTGACTAATTTGACCTTTCATTTTACGACAATGTAAGTAGGAGTATCAAAATGACAAAACTGACAAAATTATTATAATTTAATTTTTTTTCAGAAATGTTCAAAAAAACAGTTTTTGTCATTAAAAAAGACCATCAAGTCTCTTAACAATAACACATCAATACTAGAGCCACTATTTAGGACCACAAGCGACTCGTTATCCTTTATATAAACTGCCTCCGTGACCGAATGGTTACCATGCCGGACTGCCACGCAGAGGTTCCAGATGCGATTCCCAAGCCAGGAGAAATATTGTAATTGTAAGTATTGTATGGCCTACATTTATTTCTCTCGTGAGTTTTGGTGTAATTTGTGGTTGTCTATGTGTGTGTGTTCATGCCACCCGCGACACAGGGTTTCCCTAGTGCGGGGCTATGTTAAGTGTATGCATTATTATTAGTATATGATACCTAAATTAATAATGATGGTGATCGTGATGATTGTGCTGCATGTTAGGATTGGCCCTGTAAAGGATACCATAATTTTCAACTGTTTAAAGCTTTAACTTTGTCTTTCTGATGTTAGTGGTGTAAGAGCTAACTTTGCGTGAGAGGTCTGTTTGCCCATAAAATAAAGTTTACCTTTGTGTTAACTGTTATTAGTAATAAAAATGGAAATTAATTGCTTTGCTGCTTCTTGAACCCAGTGATGGATAAACCGTAAAAATAGCTGCGTGAACCATAGTGTACCTGCATAAAAATAGAGGTAGTAAGCTCTAAATAGAGCTATTTTAACCGACTTCAAAAAAAGAAGGAGGTTATACGTTCATCTGTATGTATGTTTTATGTATGTTTTGCTATATCTGAGTCAATTGTGGACCAATTTTGAAAACTCATATTTATAGGGTGCACTCTCGTGACGGTCCCATTGTCACCAAGTCAGAATCTGATGAGGAGATAATATAATATAATATAAAATCGAGGAAAATCCTCAAATTTTATAGGCATGTCAGTGTACTTACCGATTTCTCCATCAATTGTGGACTGATTTAGAAAATTCATTTTTTGTTTCAAAGGGTATACTCTCGAGGTGGTTCCTGATGTTGACGTTGCTGTTCCGGGTTCGTTTCGGCTATCACAAATTAAAAAATTCTTTTCCCCAAATAAAAGTCGACTTTTCACTTGACACAATACATGTAATCAACAAATCATCGTCACCCGATAACCAGAAAAAAAATTATAAAATAAAAACAAAAGGAATCCGTATCAATCCCATTGTCACCAAGAAGTCAAAATCTGTTCAAGGGATCACATGGAAATCGAAAACAGCTTTAAGCTAACTTTTGAGCTCGGGTTTTATTTTCATGAAAAAGTTACAATTATTCCATTTACGGAGCACCTAAGAAACTTCTGTGCCAATATGTTACCGCGCACCGACAACGAACTGCGCTCGCTCTCAACATCATCATCATCTTCAAGATCTTCATTAGCAATATGTCCTACTTACTTAAACAGAGAGGAACAATTCAAAGTTACATCATTTAGGAGAAACGGTGGAATATAATTTTGGGCCATTATATATTAAACACGAGAAACTCGCTCTTATTTTATTGTAACTAAGTAAACAATTAAATAACAAAACAATGAGAAATTCAGTAGAGACGTCTAGAAAATAATTTTTAGATTTGGTTGTGGTTGGTCACTTTGATGTAGAATTGTTTGTTAGACGGTTTTGAAACTCGTAATTTTCGACAAAAAATATCTGTTCATGTAAATTTTTCAAGGTTTATATGTGATATTTTACATGTAATATGCGGTTATGTGACAGTGTGAAAAATACTGAGATCCGTGAACGATGTAGTCTGAAACAGGCTGTAGTGACAAAAATAGAAAACATACCCCATGTTGAGGTGGTTTGGACACATAAAGTGGATGAATGAAAGTAGTTTAATGAAAGAAACATATGTATCTAGTTAACGTGGCGTGTCTGGAAGAGGACGGCCACGTAGAAAATTCTCATATATCAAATTGCTTGAGAGTGTTTTTAAATCGGCTGGAGTACGTAGTAAGAAGAATTAGAGGAATCTAAGGGCATAATTATGAATAAACAAATTTATGTAAATTTAAAAAAATAAGACCATCAGTGAAATAATTTATTCCTTATTAAACAGTTTTATTTAGCCATCATCAAAATGCCAAAACGGTTACATCTGCCTTCTAAAATCAGTAGGTTAAATTTGCTTCATGACCGTCATCGTAAGTATTCATAATGTGATAATTA